ACTGCACTACTCGCCGATGCCTTTTCGTAATCTCCGCCTACGCCCCCACTGACTGCAGTTCGGATGAAACGAAGGATGAGTTCTACCAAAAGCTGTCTAGTTTGGTGAGAAAGGCTAAACGCTCAGATATAGTCGTTCTAGCTGGTGACTTTAATGCTCAAGTAGGGAAATTGTGTCAATCTGAGAAGGATGTCGGTGGCACCTATGGAGTTCCGTGCCAGCGAACCGACAACGGTGACCGTCTCCTACAGTTCTGTTCAGATAATCATTTGTTTCTTGTAAGCACTAACTTTAAACACAAGGAGAGACACTGTTTAACCTGGCGACCCCCATCATCAAACCAACGCTGGACACAAATAGACCACATAGCAATAAGCTATCGTTGGCGTGGGTCGGTAGGAGATTGTCGCTCCTTCTGGAACACGTGTGTAGATACCGACCACGCACTGGTCCGCGCTCGTGTGTGCTTACGACTGAACGGACGTAGGAAACAGCTGGCGGTAAAACCATCACGTCCCCAGCTCGATCAGGAAACTAAATCCCTATTTGAGGAAGAACTAGCTAAACGCATATCTGTGTTCGACAGCTGTGCTCACCCTGGAGAAGCCTGGAAGAATATTCAGTCAGCTATAGATACAGCTGTAAAAGCTGTGAATAAGGCAAATCCAAAGGTGAGTAAAAACCACTGGATTTCGACTGCCTCATCCGAACTGATAGATGCTAGAAGACTTATTCCGGCGAGCTCCGAATTCAATGAGGAGCGAAAGCTGCACAAAAGGAAACTTACTAAAAGTCTCCGCAAGGACCGTGAACAGTGGTGGGTGACAAAGGCAAAAGAGATGGAAAAAGCATCGGCGATAGGCAACACTAGGCAACTCTTTAGACTCATCAGAAACGGGTGGGAGAAGGCAATTCATAAGTGAGACTATTTCTGAGAAAAATGGCTCCTTAATTAGCTCTCAGGATAGACGCCTTGAACGCTGGAAAGAACACTTTGAGGAACAATTTAACTTGCCTACAGCCACACTGAACCTCCCCGCCATCCACACACCCGAATGGGATATAGACACTGGTCCGCCGTCTGTAAGTGAGGTCACAAAAGCTATCAGTAATTTGAAACGAGGCAAAGCGGCAGGACCCGACGGAATTATTCCGGAGGTGTTTAAATATGGGGGTGACATACTAGTTTGTAGATTAACTGAGGTACTAGGCAAAGTCTGGGAATCAGAGACAGTGCCATCAGACTGGGGTAAGTCACTTATTATACCGATATTCAAGAAGGGAAACAAGTCCTCGTGTGATAATCATAGGGGGATCAGCCTAACGAACATAGTCTCTAAAATCCTAGGCTCAGTAATCATGCATAGACTAAGCAGAACTCGGGAGGAACAGACAAGGGAAAATCAAGCAGGCTTTAGACCAGGTAGAGGGTGCATAGATCATATCTTCACTCTTCGACAGATTCTAGAACATAGACACACTTTTCGGCGTCCAACAATTGTCATATTTCTTGACTTGAAGGCGGCCTTCGACTCCGTGGATCGAAAGGTACTATGGCAATGTCTGACTGTGAAGGGAGTGCCAAGAAAGTACATTGCACTAATCAAGGCACTCTATTCAAACTCACGTAGTCGTGTAAGGGCTTATGGGGAATTGTCATCTGAATTGGTAACAACCAGTGGTGTCCGACAGGGATGTCCACTTTCCCCATTTCTGTTTAACTTCATCATAGATATGCTGATGGAAGTATCCTTAACTGAACGTAATGACTTAGGAATCGACTTGTTACCAGGGAATAATCTTATGGACTTAGAATATGCAGATGACATAGTCCTGTTAGGGGAGGATGCTGACAAAATGCAGAGTCTTCTGAACACCTTGAGCAGCAATCTTCGTATGTTTGGCATGCGATTCGCCCCTACAAAATGTAAGATGCTGCTACAGGACTGGACCACGTCAACCCCTAACTTAGTGATAGGGAGTGAAGTGATAGAACATGTTGACCACTTCACCTATTTGGGAAGTTGTATTAGCACCAACGGACTGATTGGCGATGAAATCTCAGCACGGATCCGAAAAGCTCGAGCTGCTTTCGCTGACTTACACCATCTCTGGCGTAGGCGTGACATCCGGTTATCAACCAAGGGACGTGTGTACTGCTCATCAGTTCGCTCCGTCCTTCTCTATGGCTCTGAAACATGGCCAATACGCGTTGAAGACATGAAAAGGTTGACTGCTTTCGATCATAGATGTCTGCGATCTCTGTCTCACGTTAGGTGGTTTCACAAGGTAAGTAATGTTGACGTTAGGCGTAGAGTGTTGGGCAAAGAGGGAAAATCAATCGACGAGGCTATAAAGTTACATAGACTAAGATGGCTAGGTCACGTGGTGCGCATGCCTAACCACCGCCTCCCCCGACGGGCATTGCTAGCTGATATAGGTTCAGGTTGGAAAAGAGCCAGTGGTGGCCAAACAAAAACATGGCCTCATCAATCCATGAAATCCTTGACAGTTAAACTGAGTCAGGTAGGGAGATGCAGACTCCCGGGTTGGGGCCCTCGGGACTCTAGGAATCAATGGCTGGAGACAATAGGTGACATGGCTCAAAATCGTTGTCAATGGCCAGCTCAGATGTATTCAGTCTCTGTAATCTTTCATATTCCTTTCTACCATTACCCATTCTGTTTCACTCTTATACTTGTCAAACTCTATTGATTCTCTTCACTCATCTTCTTGTCTACCTCTGTGTGCTATTTGGAACGTGGCAACTCGAACTGGTGCACTTCGGTGCCAAGTTCTATGTTGAATCCAGACAAACAGACAGACAGACAGAGACAGAAAGCAGTTACCGGCTCAGTGTGAGAATCTTTCTCATACTATTCTGGGGGGTCTGACGGCGAAGTCGTACTGCTAAGGAACAGGGGTGTAACAGCAGTGAGGTGTTTCCCTCAGATGACTAGCATGCCAGCTATGCTGTCTCTCGGATTGTGGACGCAGAATGGAGAGCTATCAAGTCGAGGAGTTGCATCAGTGCAAGGAAGGCAAGATGATAGAGATGAAGACAAAGATAAGTGAGGATTAGAGAGGTTTCGTGTGCATTTCGGATTGTGAGGGCGTTTGTTACTTCCCGGCTGCCCACACCATGGAAGTTGGTTGCGTGACCGCAGAGCCCAGGGGACAACTGCTTGTGGCCGGTCACAAGCGGCCTGTTTTTGTTTGTTCTTTGTTGTTTGGTGTGCCTCAGTAGCATATTTATCACTCCTGCCCTGTGACACGGCAGCAGGAACCGCGGTCGTTGTTAATCCGGGCCACGGCCGATCCGGCATGAAATTTTGTGATTTTGTATTGATCATGATGTTGGATTGGGTAGCTGCTTTTTGTCTAACCGCTATCCAAACAACCTGCCTGGCATGGTAGGACCTGAAGAGACATAAGTCTCAGCCAGTATAGCTTGAATAGATCATTGCGGTGTTCAAGCCCGACCACCACGTCAAGGTAGCAGCTTTCGGTCGCTTCACTTATTTGGGAAGTACTATCAGCCAACGCCAATGGGTTCATCTCTGACGAAATCTCAGCACGAATACAAGGGGCTCGTTTCGCATTTGCCAGTTTACGCCGACTCTGGCGTAGACGAGATGTTCGACTATCGACCAAAGGGCGGGTGTACTGCTCATCAGTCCGCTCCGTCCTCCTTTATGGTTGTGAGACCTGGTCACTCAGAGTGGAAGACATGAAAAGACCAGCTGTCTTTGATCATAGGTGCCTGAGCTCTATTTCCCGTGTAAAGTGGCATAATAAGGTGAACAACATTGAGGTTAGGCGTCGAGTTCTAGGTAAACAGGGGAAATCAATCGACGAAGTCGTGAAGTTACAAAGACTGAGATGGTTAGGACATGTGTTACGTATGCCAAGCCATCGCCTCCCTCGACGAGCAATGTTGGCGGATATAGGGCCAGGCTGGAAAAAAGCTAGCGGCGGTCAAACAAAACTTGGCACCAGTCAATGAAATCCACAACAGTTGGTCTAAGCCACGTAGGAAGGTGTAGACTTCCAGGCTGGGGTCCTCGGGACGGTAAAAATCTATGGTTGGAAACAATTGGTGACATGGCTCAAAATCGTTCTCAGTGGCGACGATGCATCCACTCCTTGTGACTTATGATCTCCAATGAAACTGTTTTGTTTTTCGTTATTACTATTACTTTGTCTCACACCTCTGTTTACTGTGTCTATTATGCTTTTCTTGTACTTTTTTCTCTTGCTTCGCGTGCTACACGGTGTGGCGACTTGAACTTCCGCACATTTGTGTAGAGTTCTATGTCGAAAACAGACAGACTGACAGACATGCTGTCTCTCCACTCCGGAGAGTGGGGTTTACAAAAGGTCGACCCGAAAAGTTGTACCTCCCGACTTACGCTACAGTGGTCCGTAACTGGCGGTAAGTTTACTAATACGGAACCAATCCCAGAAATGAATTCACATACAGGCCGTGTGTGACCGGCCTCAAGCAGTTGTCCCCTGGTCTCTGCGGTCACTCAACACTAACTCTCTCTCTCTCTGTTTCAGGTATCCTAAGAACCAATCAACTTCCACGGTGTGGGCAGTCGGATGTAAAAATCGCCCACACATTTCCAAAAGCACACGAAGCCTTCCTGAGCATCATTTCCCTTGTAGAGATTTTTTATTTCTATCACGTTTGATCACTGACTGATATATCAGCAGTTTGAGAACCACTGAAAACCAGTAGGGAGTACTTGACATCTGTTTGGTTCATCCAGTTTGGGATTCATCAGTGGTGCGCACCCACTGCCAGGGTTAGAACCACCCAGGACCTCCTTCTGGTTACCAGCCAATCTGGTATACCAATCAGCCCCACTGGGACCCGATTCAATGAGCAGTCTATGGATTCTATCTATTGAAATCACTTGTGTTGTTACAGTATAATAATATAAATGTATTAGTAATCATTACTATAGATTATGGTTCATATTGAATAAACGTACACTTTAACATCATATGAACAGCATACACCCATACCAGTTGATGTATCCCAACAACAATATCTTTCGAATGGTTGATTTGGATCATCAGGACACAGGAAGTAGGTATATGTACGCGTCATCCCCGTCGCATTAATATACTCTGTACGTCGACCTTCACACACTTCATATTTATCTGCAAAAAAAGTAAAGATAACCAACAAAAACAAAAAAATAACCATAAGTAAATGTGTGTTATGCAATTCAAAGAATTTGTATTGATTTTTTGTTTGTTTTTTGAAACTGTAAAACAAAGATTATTGGAATGTCTACTACAATAAAAAACAAATAAGTGTCATCTAAAATATCCCACAGGTTAGATAGAAATAAGTACAAATAGTAAGAAAAGATTGATATGAATTCCAAAAACAAAGTGACAACAATTTCATAAGATCAATGAAATTTATTATTATTATCATTATTATTATTATTACTGCATTGTATAAGGCACAAATATAAATCAGTCGGCATGATGAAGACAATGTATGTTGCCTGTATGGGCTAATGGAATTTAAATGCCTTTTACAGAGTTAATTTTAAATGTACCAATTGGAAACTCCATATTAGTTTGTTTATTAATTGTATCACACAGTGAGTGAAACAGTATTATTCACTGGATGACAATTTTTTCGAACAAAATTTATTGTAGTTCATAATCACTTCATCAATTATAATCACACGACTTTGAAACTTAAGTTTTATAGTTTTCTTTGTCTTCTCCTATTTGTCGTCGTTGGGGTAGTAGAATTTTCCGGATATCTGGGTGGACAGGTGTTGAATCATTCCTATTAAACGTGTTGCCTCACAGTTGATTCGGTAAACAAAGCTTTTGTTATCAATCCTGCTGCCTCAACCCTGTCACATTAGATTTTGAAACTGTCATCCTATCCCATCCATCGTGCTGTATGGTTGTGTGTGATGGCATGCAGTGAGTGCTATCTACGGCTGAACTATTCTCTAGATTTCTTATCTTATTTGGGTCAACTAATCTAGACTTTGCTGGCAGGTTCTTACTCTCGACTAATTTGATTGATTGACGCCTTTCTACTGGTTTCACCTATGTATTTGATCTGACAGTCGTTGCAGGCAGGGTATTAGATAAACTAAATTGTTTTGTGTTAAAGGCTCCAGAGGTAGGATTCTTTAACTAACAAAGCTTGTTTCTAATTGAGTTTGTGGGTTTGAATGCCAGTTACTTTTATTCCTGTCTTGTTAAGAATTCTGCGTAGAGAACAGTTCAGCGATAGCATTACATGCAATTACAAACAACCACACAACAGGATTGGATAGGATGACAGTTTCAAAATCTAATGTGACAGGGTTGAGGCAGCAGGATTGATAACAGAAGCTTTGTTTATCGAATCAAATGCAAATACATGTAATAAGAATAACTCAACACCTGTCCACCCAGATATCTGGAAAATTCTACTACCCCAACGACAACAAATAGGAGAAGACAAAGAAAACTATAAAACTTAAGTTTCAAAGTCGTGTGATTATAATTGATGAAATGATTATGAACCACAATTAATTTTGCTCAAAACGAGATCCAGTAAATAATACTATTTCACTCACTGTGTGATACAATTAACAAACAAACTAAAATGGAATTACTTACTACCACAGTGGCCAAGTTTTACACATATATTAATACTTTAAAGCTCATTATTCTTATTTACTCAGACTTGAACTTCGTTCATTTTTTTTCTTTTTGAAGTGGTTAAGATGTGTGTATTGCATAGTATTACTCCTAGCCGACTGCTTCATGGCGAGTCTCGAAAACAACATCCTCAATACCTTGATAAGTGAACTGCACTTATACAGGAGATATGCATAGACGATACGTTCATAATTTGTGATGAAAAATCTGATTTAGATTCTCTCCTCAAAGCCTTCAACCCAGCGCACTCATCAATAAGGTTCACCTTAGAACGTGAATCGAACAACGCATTTCCATTCCTCGATGTACTACTTGCCAAAAGCTACGACTGTACGAGCCAAAGATCGATATATCGCAAGCCATCATGGACGGGACAGTTTATCAACTTCCAGAGCTTCGTCCGACTGATGCGAAAGCGAAACCGGGTACTTAGATGAAGTTCAAGGATTAGAAAAATCTGCTTGGAAGAAATGGTAGAGAAAGAATTAAATTTATTACGTGAAACCCTACTAGAGAACGTATATCCACCAAGATTCATCGACAAAAACACGAAAAAGAGGCCTCCGTCGCCAAACATCACAACTGTTCCAAAGAAAACTCTCTTCATGAACCTGGAATTCAAAAGTAACATCGCAGCAGAAATTCTCAGAAACCGCCTTTCTAAATGTCTGAAGAAGACATTTCCTACAGCCACCATACGTATCACATTCTCCACCAGGCAGTTAATCCAGTCTAACGTTAAGGATAAGATACTGCTTTTGGCCACTTCAATGTGTATTTATCAAATTACTCGCTAGTGTGGAGCAAAGTATATCGGCCGTACGTAATGGCAAGTTCATAAACGTATTCTGGAACACTGTCCAGTTTGGTTAGCCAGCCAGAGGAGAAAAGAAGAATAGCAACAGCTCGATCCTCGAACACCTTGTCATCTCCGAAAATCGAGCACCCCCACATGAATGCTTCACAGTGTGACACAGAGTTCCTCAATATCGTACAAAGGGACTTCGGATACGCCATCTGTACATAGCTAGAGCATTAGCTATTCGAGATCTGAAACCGGGCCTCTGCATTCAAAAGCGATACATACATTCTCTTGCCCTACCATGACCAGAGTAAACTTCTTACTACAATTTCGCGACTCTGCTCTATTATGTAAGTTCACTATTATTATTAATTTTATTATCATTATTATTCCCATCATCCATATTTTACTACCACTCTATTACTGCTTATTAATAACATTGCTTTTTCATACAGATTTTATATTAAAAAAACACTATTACTTTTCTACTAGTTCCTGTCCATTCTACACAAGCTTACTGATTGGTCATCATCTCACACTTATTACGTCATGACAACTTCTGCCTCTTTTCTAACTTCTAATTAATCACCCCGTCTAATTTATACCTTACATTACGTAATACATTTTTAAGGACAAAGTTTACCACTATCTGATTGGTCTGAAGATCTCTTTGTTTAATATAATTACAAATGTACAGCTCATGAAAATGAATCGTTGAAAAGAAAATTTTCTTCGCTGCTTGTGCCTTTTACTTATGACTCAATATAGCTCAATATTTTGTTCATTATTATTATTCCCTTGGATTTCGAGTACAACAGAGGACTGAGACAGAATATCTCCACTTCACTCTGTTCTTTGAAGTTCTCTTTAGCTGTCATCTCTTCCGCGTCTTCCTTACACGACCAACTTGCCACTTCTCATTCGAGAAACAACCTGGAGAGCGACGTCATTTGACAGTCTCCACCTCCATTTTCTTCCGCAGACTTGTTGAGTAATAGGTTCTTGATTGCTTTTTTCCCAGAGTCCTGTAGTATGAATTCTTTCTGGCTAGCCATTTGATCTTCAATATGGAGTCAGCAAAGCCAACACTGTTGGATATGCTTTTCGTGATGCGCTGGTCAAGTTTTTGATCCATAGAGAGGAAACGACTGACTTTACACATTTGTGTTGAACAGATAACCGAATCTTGTTCTTTATACTACGGAGTGCAGAAGATTTTTAAACTGATCTCAGAGTGACGAAGGCGTGCGCATCTTGTCTCTCCGATTCTGACTGGCCTGCTTTGACATCTTCATCCCTTCCGCTGTCTGTAGTTGAAACGATGCTTCCTAGGCGGATAAGTGAAGGAAGTGACCCTCCTTTTAACTTCTTCCGACGATAGTGATTGATGCTTGTTGTTAAGGACCGAGTATCCTCAACACCTCTGTCTTTTTTCTATGTTCACCTGGAGTCCTTTCTTCGCATCCAACCTCTTTTTGGCGACTTGTTAGCTTTCGCCTACTAGTCTTCGAGTGCATGAAGTTCAGATCTTATAGAGTCTTCTCACAGGTAGTCCAACGTATTCCTATCTCCACACTCCTATGCAAGGTCTGTCGCATAATCTAGTCCACCGCAATCAGGAATATCATAGTCTGCCTATCCGTTTTCGACATGGAACTTTGCACCGACGTGTAGCAGTTCCAGTTGCTACACTGCACCCACCACACAAAGCCAGCGAGGAAACCAAAAAGAAACGCAAAATAGAGACAGTAAACAGAGATATGAGGCAAAAGGAGTAGTAATATCGAAGAACCATATAATTTTATTGGATTTTATAAGTCACAAGGAATGGATGTATCTGCGCCAGAAGTTGAGAACGATCACTTTGAGCCATATTACCAATTGTGTCTCCAGCCTCCATTGGCTTTTACCACCCCGAGGACCCCAACTAGTCAGGAAGTCGATACCTTCCTACGTGGCTGGCTGGCTTAAACTAACTGTTGTGGGTTTCATTGATTGATAAAGCCATGTTTTGGTTTGACCACCACTGGCTAGCTCTTTTCCAACCTGACTCTATGTCAGTCAGCTAAGATTGACCGTAGTCGAGGATGGCTAGGCATACGCAACACATATCTTAACCATCTTTCTCAGTCGATATAGCTTCACAGCCTCGTCTATTGATTTCCCCTCACCTCCTTACCTAGCACTCGACCGAAGCCTAACCTCGATATTGCTCACATTGTTATACCATTTCACACGGGAGATAGACCGCAGGCACCTATGATCAAACACATGTAGCCAGCCTTTTCATGTCTTCCACTTCTAATGACCAGGTCTCACAGCCAGTCACAAAGGAGGACGGAGCGGACTGCCGAGCAGTACACACGTTATTTGGTAGACAACCAGCCGGATATCACATCTACTAAGCCAGAAACGGTGTAAACTGGCATATGCGAAACGAGCCTTCTGTATCCGTGCAGGGATTTCGTCATTGACCAACCGGTTGGCACTGGCTGATCCAACTTCCCAAATAAGTGAAATTGTCAACGTGCACTACCATTTCACTCTCTATTTCTAAGCCAGGAGTCAATGTAGTACAGTTCTGTAGCATCATCTTACATTTGGTCGGAGTGAAGCGCACGCCATAAAATGTACAATGGACTAAAAAAAACGTAATATACGGGCTACCTCCATT